CCGCTAGTTACTTTGGTTCCCACTGGCTACTTTGGCTACTTTGGTTCCTATTGGCTACTTTGGCTTCTTTGGTTCCCCCTGGCTACTTTGGCTAATTTGGTTCCCCCTGGCTACTTTGGTTCCCATTGGCTTCTTTGGTTCCCATTGGCTACTTTGATTCCCACTGGCTACTTTGGCTAATTTGGTTCCCACCGGCTACTTTGGCTACTTTGGTTCCCGTTGGCTACTTTGGCTACTTTGGTTCCCCCTGGCTACTTTGGCTACTTTGGTTCCCCCTGGCTACTTTGGCTATCTTTTCCCCGCATGGCGCCGCGGGATGTAAACAAAAACACGTGTCTCGATGCCAGCTGATGGCCCCGTTAAGTTGAAATTTTCAGTTCAAAAAATCTAAAACCCTATAAAAGAAGAAGAAGAAGAAATTTTCACAGTTATTGCTGCTATTCCCTCTTTCTGGATGGCATTTTCGAGATGGAGTTGGATCGGTATCTTATGTGGTTGGTCGATTCTCTGAAGGCTTCTCTTGGTAAGCTTTTTATATGCGTCTTATTTATATGTATGATGATTATATTGTGGGATTTTTTTGTAGCAAATGGAGATTCTTTTGAAAATATATATGTTATAGCTTTGCCTGATTTATAGCTTTTTTTTTTTCCTGTCCAAACGAGTGCAACATAGGTATGGTTTGAGATTCTTTTGAATATATATGTTATAGCTTTGCCTGATTTATAGCTTTTTTTTTCTTTTTTTCCTGTCCAAACGAGTGCAACATAGGTATGGTGTTTTAAATAGGATGATAATGATTCTGAATTAATTTGTAAAGTTTGTGCTCCTAATGGTGGAGTATAATATATTATAACTTCGCAATTGTTCTCATATTACATGGTTGAATGGTGATAAAAGAATATGATAATAAAAAGCAAGTGGATACAATAAAAGCATTGGCCACTATCCACGTTCTCGATAAGAGTAATTTTTCATAAAGTATGACGCCAAGTTATAGCCAAGTAGATTGTTGACGGCAGGACGCACTTTTTAATAAGAATCGTGATTTTTTTCCCCAGCCTAGTAAAGATAAAAAAGCATGCGCCGAGATTTTTCCATTTCATTACGCCAATATGCCAAGGAATATAGTTTAGACTAACTCCATGCCACCATACTGACAGGAAAGCTAACTCCACGCCGGGGATCTTCGGGCCTAAGTGCATGAAATGCACCCTGACTGTGGCCTCTATGCATGTTGGTAGTCCACCGAAGAACAATAAATCTCAAATGTATTTTATTTTCTCTCTCCAGAAAGGAGTGCTTGTAGAACTTCCTCTAAATTTTTCAGCAAACAAGGAACCTGTCAAAATTCCATCTTGCCAAAATGCACTATAGATAGTAGACATTTACCAGCCTTTGCTGGAGAGTGAAACACAGGGACGTGGCAAATATTTGACCCTTTAGTGCTTAGCTATCCACATATGGCCCAAAATGCAGATATTATATTTACTTGAGTGGCCACTCTCAAAGTTGAGTGGCTTAGGATAGGGACACACGAACACTCAAGTGCAGTATTAGGACTCCTTGCCTCCTCCTTGCAATGTTATAATTTCTTATTCTGCATAAATTTTTTGCTTATTTACCATTTTCAAAGTCTATATTTGTCATTGGATATGCACAGCTTCCATTTCATCATCTAAATAGTCCATAAGTCAGTGTATTTAAAAAAGCAATAAGTAAGGTTTCGTTATTTGTGTCATTTTTTTTTTTTTTTTGTAATATTCAATATTCTGTAATACAACCTGCACCACTGGTCACAAACAGGAACAGGACTCTGTGCATGGAAATAGGGAATGGATTTTTAGTACAGTACACAATCCTTTATATGAACTCCTTAGGGCTAGTTATGTAGCAGTTTTCAGATATTTTTCAGTTTTCAGAAATTCAAACAATATTGTAGAAAAAAATGTATGAGGGGTAAAAAAATCAACTTCAACTATTATTACAGTTTATTTATAAAGTATATACTGATGAATGTGTACTACTAAACTCTACACTAAAAGTATATATTCTGTTTTCAGAGGTTTTCTGTTTCATGTTTGTGATATGTGGTATGCAATTGTCAACCTGTATTCATTTTCTGGTAAATTTTAAGGACATGCAGAATTCTTCCTGCATTGCATAGTAGTATCAAAATGTTTTTGATCCAATATGTACATAAAAATATTTTCCTCAGAAAATGCAATGAAATTAATGAAATATAAAGTTTCTTAACTCAAAAATGAAGTAGGAATTAAATGAATAAAAAATGGTATTTGTCATAAAAACAAAAAATTAATAAATAAATAAAACTAAAAGAGTTAATGGTAGGTTACTGTAAGTAAAATATACATTCATATGTATAAGCACACATTTAGAAAATTATATACAGTGAAAAAGTTCCAGATTAAATAATGATGAAACTTATTCAACTCAGGTTTTCCATTTTCCTATTATTCCTCTTATGTATTCGTCTATTTCTACTCTTCCAGATGACGACACCGTGAACCAGACAAAATTAAACAAAAATGTCGAAAGCTGTTTCCAGAGGGTGAAGAAGGCCTGTGCAGCCGCCAGCAAGGACAAAGACTTTGAAGACTTCCGCTGTAAATCCACACTTTTACTGTTGTTGTGCTGCCCGAGTGTGAAGAACCAGCCAGTAGTGAGATCTTCTAAAGATTTGCAGCTTGTCATCTCTGCTGTCCCGACCTTAAAGGAATCACACTTCCTCTCTGTTGTAAAGAATCAGAGGTGTTACAGATGTCTGGTATATATTCTCAGCTTCCTACCGACTTCGTATCTTCCGACAATCATTGAGGAATATTTTACATCTACGGATGGAGTAAACCCAGTTACCCTTGCAATGTCACTAGAGCTTTTCATATCTTACCTACTCAGTTGGCAATCAAATTCATACCGGGAAAATTGTGAAAGCGATATCCTAAAATGTTTGAATCTGTTTGCAAAGTTTCTGTCTTCCAAGACTGTATCAAGTGACTCAAAAGTGCAGATAAAATCGAGTGCATATTTCTTCATGTATCTCACAAAATACCTCTTGTTGGTGCTAAATGTGTACATAGGCAAAGAAATGGAATATCCAGAAATCCCAGAATCATTAATCTGTTGGAGAGATATGTGGAAAAGAGAGGAGAAGGAGAATAAATCCCCACTTAGGAATAATCTCTTTACGAAAGATCTTGTGATTACATTCCTCAAGCTTTGTCAGCATAAAAATGAAGCCATTAACATTGGAATGTGGATGGATTGGAGTGAAATTAACCTACCAGTAAGTGTCATTCCTCACAAGGGCTCTACTGTCCATTCCAACAAGACTGCAGAAAAGAGCATTCAGTCCGTTATATGTAACATAGCCTTCGATATCATACAGATCTTCGACTTGCACCCAAATTTACATGAATCCTGCCAGACCAGTGAGTGTCAAGACTTCTTCCAGTTCATGAAACAAGTAGCCTGTGACCCTAACTACGACCCAGATTATGACCTAGGTTTAGAACAGCTCTTACAGGAGATTGACCTAAGGGATGAAAGGGAGCAAAAATTACTTGAGATCCTCCTAGACAAAGAGGAAATCTTTTCCTCACAGAAGTGCCTCGACTCAGTGAAAAATCACCCTGGGAAAGTATCCTCCAAGACCCGTGGAGAAGTTCTGGTGAAATACATCGATTACGTGAAGTCTGGAAAGGCCGTTATTGCAGAATGGCAGGAGGTAATGTGTTAAATATATTCACTGATATTGTTCTTTAGTTCTTTTATAGGAAGTAAAGATGACTTCCATTTATTTACAGTATAGATATGTAGAATTTATTCTTGATTTATAAAGAGAACTTTTATTTCATTCATATTCATCACAAACACTTTTCCACTTAATTTGTAGATTCCCTCATCATTCTCTACCATCATCACCCCATTCATAAGTATAGCAATTGATTTCTTCAGGTCTTCTTGAATGACAAAGCATTGTCACTCAAAAAATTAGACAATGTCAAACTATCACAAATGATCCAAAATTTCCTACTTGAAACTATCAAGCAGTTATGTTTTCACAGCACTATTGGGATCATATATAGTGAGGGAGGTTTGTACCTAGAACAATAGGCCTTTGTTGGGATTCAGAATTATCTAATATAATTGGTGCAGTACGGTGGTGCTTTGGATTCATTTGTACACAGTTATATAAGTTTCTGAATTATCTTATATTTGTAAATACCTTTTTACCTTTCTTTTACAGTTCATCTTAGAGTTGGCTGAAGATATTCCATCTGAAGATCTGATGCCAATAATAGTGGAAAAGTTAGATTCTGGTCAAAACGAAATCCTAAAAACCTCAAATTTTAATCTTCAATCAACAGCTGTTTTCAATCAGCTTGTAGGAGAGAATGCACCAGAGGTAAGAGTGATGCACTTGTCTTTAAAATGAGAAAAAGTGTTTATTTTCTTCTGTGGCTTTTCATCATTATTGACATATTAGAAGATGTTGATTTTATATCAAAATTGTAACTGATGTGGATAGCTTTGTTGATAGAGTTCCTTGTTTGTATGAAAGGATTTTTTTGGATTCTTTCTTTTATTTTTTCTACCTCATGATATTGATTATTGATCTGAAAGATGTTTAAAGAACTTAATTCATCATTTTAGGCACAGGAGAAACATACTTTAACATAATAAAAAACATGTAGCTAGTCGTAATTCATCAGATCAGGAACAGGATATCCATGTTTTACTAAACGTAGTCTCGCATTTGAAGCAGGAGAGAAAAATGCTTATATAATACCTAATCGATCATTTCTGATGCAAGAGAAGTATGTTTATCTAATACCTAATCCAGGATTTCAGATGTAAGAGAAAACCCTAATCCATCATTTCAGACACAAGAGAAGTACATTTATCTAATACCTAATCCCTCATTTCAGGTACAAGAGAAACATGTATGGTTGTGTCTCCAGTCTGGCAAGGAGGTG